CAAGGAATTCTATCCATAGGAGATTTTTATAGATCTACAGAAGGACTTTTATGTAGTTGACCACCTAAATACTTTAAAAGAAATGGGGGAAAGAGGAACAGCACATGATAAAAAAAGATGACAAAAATTTAAAATAAAATAATTACTTGTGGTGTACCTCGGGGGACGGTATCAGGACCAATGCTGTTTATTATGTATTTAAACATCTTCTCTCATACTCAAAATGAAAAGGTTTCGAAATTCGATTTGGAAATTTAATTTTTCGAATTTTTACATTCTTTGGGCTTATTATAATTATTTTTGCGATGGTCTATGTTATGTTATGTTGGGAATGGGGTGTTAATACACTGCGACCTAAAAGATCTATTGTGCCCCTTTCTGTCGCTAATGCATCAAGGAAATGTATCAATGCCTATAACGACCCTTCCAATCCTATCTTCTCAAGGAAGTGTAGGATTTGGAGTGGTTTCAAGTTAGGCAAATATCCCTCTTCTTTTTTATATCCTCCTAGGTATAGTGCCCTTGGATTCTGGAGTGCTACACATTCAGAATGTGAATGGAAGTTTCGTCCTCCTCACAGAATCTGCACTCACTATCCTCTACTACTCTCAGTTTGCTAAGGTGTCCTTTTAATCGTAAATGCCCGGTAAGGATCCATGTTACAATACGTAGCTTAGGCAGATGCAGGCTTCCGATCTTTTCTGGTTATATTCACCTAGAAGTATCTTAGCATGTCTCAGCCCCAAGAGATTGTGCCAATTATTTGTTCTTCTACTGCCCAGTTCGTTTTTAATCTTTTCTAATATTATGTTACTGCTGGTATCGCAGAACAGCTCAGGTCCTACAAAGGGTCTCTGAGCCCCTTTCCTTACAAGACTATCTGCAATCTCGTTATCCTGTACCCCGTTATGTCCCAGGACCTAAGTGAGAATAACTCTATTTTTCTCGCCTAGCTCATTCAATTGCTCTAGGCATCTCCAGACCATTTTTGAGCTGATGACGTAAGAGCTCAGCGCTTTGATGGCTGCTTGGCTATCGGACATGATAATAATCTCTTGTCTAATGGTTTCTCTCAATGTTAAACTGGATATATTTCTCGATTGCGTGAATTTCCGCCCGGAAGATGCTTGGATATTTTCCTAAGCTTTCGGAGTGCTTGGTTCTTGGCCCATACACTCCTATTTCAGTTCCTTCTATAGTTTTGGAACCGTCTGTATACCACTGAATAGCATGTCTTTCGGTTGCAACGCGATGGATTTTTGGCTCCATTCTTTCTTGCAGCCCAGCCCAGCTTTGTGGTTTTGAAGTTTTTCAAAAAAATGTACTTCTTTAGCATTTCATCATGGGGCATGTCCCAGGTATCTTTAGTCCTAAAGCAAGTAAACATTCGTCTGATTACTCCGTTCCTAATCATTCTATATCGTGTCCTTTTTGCCACATTCTCTATCATCAAATGTAGAGGGGTGAGGTTTAAGGTCACCTCCATTGCGGCCGTAGGGCAGGTTTTCATTGCACCGGTGATGCAAACACAGGCTAGTATTTGTACTATTGAGATATTAGCTCTCATAGTAGCTAAACTAGTTTTGCTACTCCAGGTTAAAGCCCCGTAAGTGATGATTGCTCTTACTATTGCTATACACCCATCGAAATATGTTTGGGTTATATCCCCATCGTCTACCCGTAATGTTTTTGCATTCCATTAGGGTTTTTGTGGCCCTATTTACTACTTCCTTCTCATGTGTGTTCCAGAGGAGTTTGTTGTCCAGTGTTAGGCCTTGATATTTGACTTCATTTTTCCGTTCTATATCTATCCCGTCTAATTTAACAGTTTTGAGATCAAGTTTTCTGTTCCTTGAAAAGGCTACAAGTGTTGTTTTTGTGGGGTTGATACTAAATCCCATTTTACAGCAGCATCTTTTGGTATGTTCTAATCTTCGTTGGACTATATAACACAGAATATTTCTAAACTGGCCTTGATAGGGTATGCCGAGGTCAGTCAATCTGCATAGAAGTTTGTCTACGGTTAGGCTCCACATTAGTGGGGATAAAACTCCTCCTTGTGGACATCCTCTGGTTGTGCAGATGGAGATGGTGTCCTGCCCTATCTGTGTCTTTGCAGTTCTCGTAGATAACAGCTGAGCCGTCCATCTGGATGTGATGCTATCTACTCCTTTGTATGCAAGTGCTCTTTTGACAGATTCGTATGTTGCGATGGTCTAACATCGAAACATAATTGTAAACCAATATGCATCTTTATTGTGTCCTAATGTCGATTGATCATTGTTTCCAAGTCGTAATTAGATTGGAAAATTGTTTCTTCGAATGTTGACCCTCTATTGGGTATCTTTAATTATTTTATAGAGAGGTCAAACGTCGATATCTACCTAATCTTGTATCTTAATTGTGCCTTTCTGAACACTAAAACTCTTGTTTTTTTTCTAAATATATGATTTTTATAGTGATTTTACATAATGAAAATAATAATAAAAAATAATAAATAAATCGCAGAAAATTTTAAATAACTTTTACTTGTTTTGATTGCTAAATTATTTACCATTGTCGCGTGTTGGGTTATTTATGTATCCTCTGAATCCTAAATCAACTGAGGGGTTGAGTGTAGCAGATGGTAGAGCATTTAAATAAAAAATTAGAAGTAGGTACCAATTTAAATTTTACATTATATAAATGAAAACATTAACATGAAAAGACGAACTTTATTGAGAGTATATAGTAAAAGTACAAAATTTTACTGGGAAGTCATCAGACCGACACAACACGAAACAAATCATCTTTTATTCCCGTTTGATTTACAATAAAAGTTCGGAGATTCATATCCTTTTGCTTACTGAGGTAAGTGAGGTAATTCGTAATTCGTCGTTCGTCGAACAGCGTTCACTGCCGAAATTACAATTTCAACAAATTTACATAAAAGTATATATTGATTAAGAAACCGGAATTTATACTTCCTCTTTAGAAATATTGGATTTAAATAAATTTGAATGTGAATAATAAAAATATGTTAATTTTATAAAATAATTATTTAAAATAAAATCAATAATTCTTTAATAAAGTAAATCTATGAGCCCTAAAAATGCATTAGTTAACATTATTTATTGTTTAATCTTATTTAAATAAAGGTCGAAAAATTTAAAAAATGTATATAATATAATGAAAGAAACAGTAAAGAAGCAAATAATAATAATAATAATAATAATAATAATAATAATAATAAAAGCACAATAATAATAATAGCATTTATTAATAATAATAATAATAATAATAGCATTTTCCTACGACCACTTAGGAAATTGACGCATATCACACTATATAGTCCTATATCATACGCGTATGAATAAGAATTTACTTTCCACCCGTGTACGAATATGCTACTTTCCGCATCAGCTGTCACAAAATGTCAAACGCGTCAGTTCTATCTTGATCTATGTAATGTCCATATTAATACTAAAATCGATATGATTGTAAAATTATTGAAATTGTTGTAAATTAGATCCTAGATATTTATCTTTAACAATTATTATTTAAATAATTTTAAAATAACTAAGTTATGTTTGCTTTTTATTCTGGTTGAACACATAACCGATTAAATCCTTCAATTGGCGCAAGGCCTATTAGCTCAGATGGTTAGAGTCTCAAACTTTATCAACTTTTCCATTTGAGACCTGGCGAGCGACCGCGTTCAAATCCTTGCAGGGGCAGAATTTTTTTAATTTTTTTTTATTTTTTAAGTTTTTTTTTAGTTTTCTTTGTTTAGACAATATGAAAACTGAATAAATACGATTATTGTTGATTATTTTTTAAATACATTTTAATTATTATAATAATAACAACCTGGTTTTACATTTTTTGATGAAATTATTTTGTGCGACAATATTTCCCACTCGTGTGAAAAATGTCACTTTCCACACTCGTAATGTAATATACTATTATTGCCCAACAGTTTCCCATTTACAAGGCAAATTTAACAATATAAAATTAAACTAAGAAAATACATAAGATAAGTAAATAAAAAATTATAAGAAAAGTAAAAAAGTAGAAATAGTAAAAAATTAATATGAATTTAAAGATAAGCTTTTGATTTATTTTTTAATTCACATATACTGCAACAGAAAATATCACAATAATCTGATAGTTTGTTTGCATTACTACACATTAAGGTAATTGGCGTTTTTGACAACAAATTAGTTTAAGCTCGTTTACTTAGAAATGTAATATTATGTTTAGATGTTATCCTAGGTACAAAAAAATTTATTTGAGAGAGCAACAAAGCGCTGTCAATTTCACCACTTAACAATTTATGCAAAAACAAAACAGTTACCTGATGTCTACGTGTTTCTAATAATACAAAATCAAATTGGTGTAGCAAATCTAGGTAGTTACAACCTCTTGAATGATAAAATCCATTTATTTAAAACTTATGAATGTAAAGAGTGTAAATGTAAGAAATAGACAATGACCGAAGTCAAACTTGAACTGCTTATAAATAATTATTTTGATAGCGACACGTATTCTGATAAAGTCGATTCAAATAAAAAACAGTTTCATGTCGATTCAATTTGTTTGACTATGTACCTACATCTATTTTAATAACATACTGTATATACCATTTCCGTATTTATCATCCTCTGTGTTTGTCCTGCAAAGGTGTCTAAGGAAAAAATTAATGGCGACTGACTTCTAAGCGTTTGTGACAATAGCATATATTCTACTGTCGCTGAAAACAATCACACAAAATTACGAGTTGTTTAGTTATTAATGATTTTAAAACTCCTACATAGTTTTTTTCATCAAAGTAACAATAGTACACGTTTGGTTGTATGCAAATTTGTTATCATTTATACGATACAGAGGTGAATGTGTAGGAATTTTAATTCATGGAACACGGGCGTTAACATCAAACCAAACATTAATAACAATAGCAACCATAAAAAGTTCTTTTCTGAATTTACGACATTAGTAGCAATATTTTTGTTTTGTTTTAGATCGAAAGAGAAGTAATCCTCTCCAGTACAGACAAAAACTCAAAAATTCCAATTCTGCACGATTACAAGAAGAGAAGTAAAGTCTCAGTGGCTCCGGACGTTCCCCCCAAACAGATGGCTGCTTGGACCCAGAATCAAGTCCAGAACCACCAAATCTTGCCTGATCAGGTAAAAAATACTTTTTTCTTGTGTTGAAATATACAAGCTGGCGCAAAAATAGGTACATCTTCCTATATGAAACGTTAAATAAATTTGTATTTTGAATTTTATAGTACAAAGTGTATTTCTTGGTTTTTTCAACTGTTTACTATAAATGACATCTAAAAATTGATGTTTAAGAAATGATATCTAAGAAATGATGTCTAAGAAATGATGTTTAACAAAAAATTATATCTACCCTTTCGCGATGACAAATGTAAGTCTTCTTAGCATATCTTCCATGATCTTTTGTAAATTTTCTAAAGATATTCCCAAAATATATCGCTTAATATTCGCTCTAAGTTGTTCCAAGCATTGCGTGTTGTTCACATTTACCCCTTTCTTTGAGATAATCCCAAATAAAATAATCTGAAGCAGTGAGATCTGGACATCTTGACGGCCATAATCAGTTTCCGTTTCTCGGGAAAAGTGTAAGTTAAAGAGCAATTGTGACTCTAGCGATATGGGCAGTGGCACCATCTTGTTGAAACCAGTAGTATTGATCTTCTCTTTATCAAGGTAAGAAAATTTTGCCAGAATTTACCTTTATTTGACGGCGCGGCGTATTGTCTCGGTAAAGCATTTTTTTTGCAATGGCCGTATTGGTTAGCTTGTCAAGTAATGATGAGTATGCCCCTGTAATTGTTTTTTTTTGTCGTTCTGTGTGATTATTCTCTTCACAGTCCACTGTTTTGACTTTATTTTTGATTCTGAAGCATCCAAGTTTCATGTACATCTACAGTAATTAATCGGCGCCAAAATTCTGATTTATTTTTCATAAATCTTGTTTTAATAGATGACAAACAACTAACAACTTTTTGAGCATGTTTATAGCCTTTGCTATATCTCTAAAATTAATTCGACGGTTGTCTAGCACCAATTGGTGGTTGAAGTTTTTGGTCGTTCTGAACGTTCATCGTCGCCCAAGCTGGTACAGTCATTTTTAAATTCAGCTGGCCAACACTTCACGGTGGTAAATAGTAGTGCAACTTGTCTTTAATTTGCAACGCAATAAAAATGTTATGACAGTAGGTGGTATTAATACAGAAGTAGTGGAATCTCCGTTTTAAGATTCGCTATAGTGTATTATCTTGGGTATTTCTTCCAATATTAAAAGTCTTTTGATTGGTCTACTTTCAAATAGAGACTTTTTATAAAAGAATTTTGTAATGTGATCAGTCCAGGATCCAAATATATTGTTTTTCGCAGTCTGTTAAATTGAATGGGCATGGCTTTGTCCTGGCATTGCGAATATGTTCATTCTACTCAGATGGAGTTCTTTGGTAACCTTCAGGTTAATTAATCCCATATTGCGATCAGTCTAAGTTAACTATGCACCTTAATGGCTTCGCAGGTTCACTTTTATGTATCGAAATCTGCAGTCAAGCAGTGTCGTCCGCAGTTAGTACTTAAAAGTGTAACTATCTAAGGAAAGTCTGAATACATATAAAAGCCGAAAGAAACTGCGCGCGTAGTGGTGTGCCATCTATCGGAGGAGATGTAAAACCATCAGCCCTGAGTCCATATATGTTGGGCTCTTTAAAGATCCTTACCTCTGGTTGGAATGAATTAATTAAAAACTATGAATGTCATATTCATTTTCACGTCTGTTCTGTACTAAAACGTAATCGCCATCCATCGCCGGTAGACATTCGTCTTTTCACCGACATGGCGGGACCTAATCTTAATTGCTCTGAACACGTCTATTAAAATTCGCTGTAACTTTTAATACTCATTGATTTTTGCTGGTTTAACAACACTCTCAGATTCTAACGTATTTTACGTATGAATTTTCGGTTTTTGGACATTTGTAATTTTTCCCCTGTACCCTCATCTAAAGGGTACAACAGGTGTTAAAGATCTAAAATTTAAAAGTAGTTGTCAATTATCTCAAAGTATAATTAATTAATAAAAATTATGTGTGGTGGCGATATTGTGTTGTTATTATTATTAATAATATTATTCTTTTGGAGTAATTTGACTACATTTCAGATAAGGGATAGCATTTCTTTGGACTCTTAAGGTACTAGTTTGATGGTCGCAGCAGAGACATGCCGCAGCTGCAAGAGGCAATGGAAGTACCTAAATGAGATGCCGTTCAATTCACGAGACAGCGGTAGCTCTCGCGCTGTCTCGGTCGCTTGGGTGCGTGTCTGCATCAGTACCTCTATTGCAGCAGTTTATGGCGTGGTTTTAAACGTCGAGATAAGACATCTAACATATTAAAGGCATATCTCAACAGCAAAAGATGTACTACAGATCTGCCGCATGCTAAGACGAACCCTCTGTAGCTTGATTCTTGCTTCGGTCGCCTGCAGCTATAGCATGTCCCGGTAATGACTATTAAATGAGTACCTTTAAGATACTCGTTCGATGGTTACTGCATAGACACGCTGCAGCTGCAAGCGACAGAAACAAGAAAGAGACAGACACTACAGTTTTAGTGAAAGTAAATGAGACACCGTTTAATGCAGGAACAGCACAGGCGATCTGGTGACAGCAGCATTTAGTTTTACATCGACTACTGCCGCCACGCTACAGACTGCCGCAATACTTGTACTGACGCAGATGGGCGACGTGCGCCCAAACGACCGTGACAGAGCAAGGTATTTATTTAGCTAGTTGCTTTTGTTTCCTGCGCTGCTCCTGCATTGAATGCCATCTCATTTACTTAAAATGATAGTGCCTCTTTCTTGTCTCTGCCATTTGCTGCTGCATGTCTCTGCAGCGACCATCAAACGAGTACCTTAAAGGTACCATTTAGACAACAGACGACAACAGACGAGACAGCAAAGGAGACAGATGAATTTACATTACGCTTCACACATTTGGGAAGCCAACTTAACAAATTTTGCTCTTAATTTATTAAGTTTGCCTCATTCTTCAGCAAATGGTCAAAGAATATTTTCTCTAGTATATTTGCTGGAGTAAAAGCATCGTAATAAGCACCCACTACTGTAGGTTTGCTCCATAAACACAAACCTCAAGATAATCATTATGTTTTTATTTAAAATGAAACAAAGAATGCATCATAAAAAGACCATGCATGCCAAACAACGTATTTGAATTATCTGATTCAGACTGATCTAAAAGAAATACCTATTATTTTTCATTGTTTTTTTTTTGTTTCCGTACGTTTAGTATATATTAAAAATGTTATTATTTGTTTACTTTCTAATTTGTTCAGGCGTGAAGAGACTGTTCTTGGTCTCCTTTGCCGTCGCGTCTGCTATCATATGTCGTCTGTCGTGCGTTCCGAAATGGTATCTTTACTGTAATTCATCTAAAAATCTCGTGTTGTCTTTTCCTCCAATTGTAGTATACAATATCGTTATGTTAAATTTTAATGTTTCCTAATTTGTTTATTATTGTTATACAATTGTGAACGTGGTTAAAAATACATTTATTATTGGTACTGGTACATTTTTATTGTGAAATTCCTGTTTCGCAAACAAACTTGTTTGACGTGCCATTAAATATTTCCCGTTCAAACACTCAAAATAAAGGATTCAAAATAGTGTAAACACCAAGGTGTTCGTTATAAATATTCATACATCCAGGTAATTGATGTTAAAGAAAAATCAACATTACGGTCATCAAATTGGCTATTTATTGCCAGGATGACGTTGGCAATCGACTGTGCGATAATTAATAAAGAAAATATGACGTTAATGAAATAACGTACATATTTTCGAAGCGTGAAAAGTAATTTACTGGCTTCATAAAAGCCCATTAATTTATCAAGAAACTTTGTTTCATCGAAATTAATTGACGATTTACTTCCTTACTAATGGATCATTTTTAGTTAACTTATTAAGATGAAATGAATTTGTTTGTTACATAAAAATAAAATTAATATTGGCAAAAGTATAGTAGATAAATTATCACTAATAGTCTATTAATGCCCACATCACCAGTCGTCTAAAATAAAATTAATAACTTCAGCACTAACCCCAAAAAAAGTAGACCATGATAATGGGACATAATTTTTTCTCAACGAAGCAAAGTTACCATGACATCAATGCTGTCATAATTAATAAAACTATAAAAATGTGGTTAAGTTTGCTTTTTGTTTACGTTGAATTTATTTTAAATTATGTTACTCGCACTTGGCCGGTTTTACATTTGTAATGACTATAGTCTTACCAGAAATAGGAATTATACTGTTAACCTTTTGTAATCAACGCCTTTTGACTGAGACATTTTGAAAAAGTTCCTTTCTCGGTCAATGTCTTCAATTTAGAAGAATTTTGACATTTTATAATTTATTATGCTCTCTTTCAAAGTTTAACTTTGTTTATCATTAAACATTTTCTGTAAAAATTTCAGTACATTCATAAATTGTAGAATATTAGTCTGCAGAAGCACCAAAAATCCACAAATAGTTTTGTTGTAGCATTAAAATTGAGTAATTACTTACTCAGTGGTTCTTGACCGATGGGGCGCGCCTCTTTGGGGGCGCGGCTAGATTTCAAGGGGAGCGCGAAGAATTTAGAATTTATGGGAATGCTCCGATTCTCCGATTCTTCGTCCATCCCACGTAGTCAAATGGTTACGATCTTTTAACAGAAATCCTGGCCGCAATGTTAAATCGATTTAGAAAAAGTTTTTTTCTACGAACTCTTACAAAAAGACATCTTTCGCCACAGGATACTTTCAGCGAAAACTTGATTTCCGTCACTAGTGAGAAAAAATCCCATAACGTTTACTTTCGTCTCTAGTGACGAAAGTAAGTTGTTACATATTTTCATATATCAGTCGCCTCGTATAATATTTTGGCAGCTTATAATTATTAATAATGAAATAAAAAGATGCTCATTAAATTCTATATGCGTTTTTACCTAAACTTTAATGAATTAAAGATAAAATAAACATGTATAAAAATAGTGCAAATTAAATCAATCTACATCTAGTTTCCTGGTTTTCATTTGTTTATTTGAAGTTTTATTACTTTTGAGAACTGTCAGTTT